GGTAGTTTACCATCTTGGGAAAAAATCGAGAGAACGAAATTTTAACGAGAATTTTAACGAAAGTAAAATTTCGAAGATTCATCTCGAATTTGTTTCGCATCCTCGTCGTTTTTCTATCAGAATCGGTCGACTTTCTCGATCTCGTTCGAATGGAAACCGCACGGAAGTTGCAGAAAAGCAGCAAAAAATCGCCAAGGAAATTTCGTACCTCGACGATTGTTATTTACCCGTGTCGATAAAAAATTTCTCACAATTCTCAACGAAACTTCCGTTCCGTCGTCGCGGCGTTTTATTAAATTTTAAACCGGATGGTAGAAAAAGCACGGATCGCTTGTTTATTAAAATAAACGCTTCCTCTCCCCTTTCAACCATCCCCCCCCCCCCGCCCCCATCGCGGCGCAGTCTATTACGTATGAAAATTAAGTATAATTGCTCTTCGAGAATCTTGTTCCGCGAAGTTCAGCGCCAAGTTTAATTCGTGCCCATCGAGCTGAAAATTCTCGTAAGTTCACTGAAGGGGAAAAAAATTACGTCCTGCCTCCGCTTTTTATGGAATATCTCGACCGGGTGAATGTAATATCGCAATTGTCGTGACTGAAATACTTCTTTGAAGGCTCCCTTTGCCTTTCAACTATTTAGCGAGGAATTTCCTCGCGAGACGCTTCCGTTGCATAAAGAAAATCAACTAATTAATCGACGGGGCAAAAGGGAGACCTCGTTCCGTCTCGCGTTTTTTCTCACGTGCTGGAATCCATGGTGCTCGTTTATCTCGCATTTCTCAATTGAAATTTCAGGATTCGTATTCTTAAGCGTGTTCCGATGCACCTCGATGTATCACTCCACTTCACCGTCGAAACGTTATTTTCAATATTCAGCGTTTATTTAATTATTCGATTTATCCAGATGTTGTATGTATTGCTTTTCTTCGAAGTACCAGAAAATTTAAATCGTAGAAAAAAAGAGAAAATAATACCTGCTCTCTCCAACCGCGTCGAATTTTAAAAACGTTCGATGCGAAGGCAGAGGAAATTCCGCGACGAGAACGTTTATCTCTCTCTCTTTCTCCTCTCCCCCGCCACTCCACGAAATTTCCACGGGCGGAATAAAACGTACAAAGTGAATTTCAAAAGAATTCGTGGATCGATTCGGGAGACCTTGAATTCCGAGCGACGAAAGGAAATGGAACAATCAACGGGAACGGCGAGTCCGAACGAAATAACAACAACGGGGGTAGGAGGGGGGAAAGGCAGAGGGGGATGAAGCAGCGAGAGCAACGCGAATGAAACGAAAGTAATTCTTCGGGCTGTTCGTCAGCTCGTATTGAGCGGAGTGTTGAAGCGACCCTATCGAATGAAATACGTACATAAAACGAGGACGACACGACAGGAGGTGGAAAGGTCGAGGAAAAGAAAAATACGGTTCCGCGGCGTAGTGAATCCAGCGCACGTACCGTCCACGGAATCAAGCACAAAAGGGGATTGTGGCGATTTCGACGCGAGCACCAAGATGAAAATAAGTAAATTCGAGAGAACAAGGTCGTTTCAACGTCGTTGATTTTCCATTTACGAGAACTTGCGGAAATTCATTTATGACTCGCGAGTCATCGTGAAAGTTGCCAATGAAATGTTCTCATAAAAATTATATATACGTGTCAATTTCAAAGCTCTGCGTGTTGCAATTAGTGGAACGTAATTGTCACGATCGAACTATGGTTTTTTTATGCGTTTACAGAGAGTTTGATGATGCAAAGGTATGCTCGTAGAAGTGAGGAAACGTATGAATTTTACAATATTTATTTTAACAAATGAAACAATCCTGTCTGATTCTATACTCGCGGGAATACAAATTTGGAAATGGCGGTTGTCTTGAAAATTGATCGACTCGATTTAATCATTCGTCACGAACGACGAACCCCCCTGAAGAATTTTCACGAGACGGTCGGTGGAATTTTCGAGAAACGAAACGTCAAGGGAGGAGAAAGGCATTATCGAGCGGAATATCAGCGAAGTTTGTAGAAACTCTTTAGAAGAATTTCGCGGAACGATATTTCTCCGGTTGGTTGGATTGCTAAAGGCACAATATACATTTCTGCGTGCAGAAACGTGGAGAAAGAAAGGGAGTATTACGGCAAGTAAGAGCGAAGAATGATGGAAAGAACGGGAGAAAGAACGGCATTATAATCTGCGAAACGGGAGTCTCGTCAAATGGAAAATACGAGAGCTGATGATTGGCGCTCGAGTAATGCTTAGCACAATGGTTCCGACTATCGTCAAGAACGAACTGAATGCGATTACCAGTTGACGTGTAGACCAATACGTAGCGCAAAACTATGAGACACATGTATAAAATTCAACTAGTACGTGTGAAACGTTAATAATTGTAGACTTAGTTGAGTAGAATTTGGAATATTTATAGAATCTCTGGTTTCCTTCGCAAATTGTTATTTACAACCTGGCATTCGAGCTTAAAAAATTAAATTCAAGCTTGATTGTACGACTTCCAGTCGAAGCGGCAAATATGATTTGAGCCAGCAACAAATCGTGTGAAATATCGAACCTTTCTAAAATAATCAAAAGTAGAAAAGTTCGACTGTGGGAATAATTACGACAATTCTAATTCCAATAAAACAATCAACGAAGAAACTGGGAAAAAAATTGATTGAAACGTCATCTCAATAAGCTGCCAACTAATTGATCGGAATCGTCTCAACACCAAGGCCGTGTGAAATCAATTTTGCGCACGTAAACGTTAAGAGAAAATTCCAGCCGCGGAATAAAGAATTCGAAACGAGAAATTGTGAATCCATCGGACAAAGGCGAATTAATAAGTATACGAGGCACGAGAGGCAACGTTTCCGCGTAGTATCAATAAGTTCCTGACAAAGCATTCAACGAATCGCGAGTAATACCGCAAAGCCGACTCGAACGTGACAGAGAGAGAGAGAGAGAGAGAGAGAAAGAGAGAGTCCGAGTGGAAACGCGGACGAAGATACGTGGCGAATCTCAAATAAGAAGGGAGAAGAACGATCGAGAAAGTGGAAGAAACGGAGGGAGGATTTGTAGATCCGTCTACGAGAGAAGGAAATACAAGTCTAACCTCTTTTGACCAGCCAACAAGTTCTGACCGAGGCTTGCAACCGTTGCTGCCACTATTGATTCCCCTTTATTCCCCTTTTCTCGTTCTCGAGGAAGAATTGAATCTTCAATTCTCGCGATCCTGCCCAAGGTCTTTCTTCCCTCTCACCACCTACCTCCCCCCTCCCCTTTCTCTGTCCGCATTGACCGTGTTCGATTTCTCTTTTTCGACTGTTCGCAATTTTGACACACGATCACGTGGCGAAGAATAATCGTTCTCAGACGTTCTCTTTGATTCCAGCTTGACAGGAGTGTATCGGGTCTGACCTTTGAAATTTTATTACGGGTGATACGATGACGGGTGAAATTAGGATTGATCCGCGAGGGGGTTAGGAATTAAGAGATTTAAGAACCGAAAGGTTGGAAAATTTTGTGGAGATATCAAAATTGGGACACTAATTTATGGATCTAGAAGTTCGAAGGTTCGAAGATTGAAAAATTAAACAATTCAGAGATTCAAAGATCAAAAATTACGAAATTCAGAGTTACAAAGATCCAAAAAGTCCAGAGATCTGAATACTCGGCAATTAAAAATTCAAAGATTGACGAAAAAATTTAAAAATTCGAAGGTCTGTTAATTTCGAGCCTCGCTGGATCTGTTAATTCAGAAATCCTAAAATCGAAAGATTCAACTAAAAAATTATCACTATCATCACCATCAAGTGAAAAATTACACTATCCAACGCTAAAAGTATAATATCATTGTCAAAAGAGGAGTTAATCATCGCTACATCATAAAAAAAAAAAGAAGAAGAAGAATTTAAAACAACACACAATCGGACAATACTCTGAATTGATATCGATCGACAAATTGAAAGATTCACCAGAGTTGGCAATGCTTTTTACCTAAAAAAATTATCACTATCATCATCATCAAGTGAAAAATTACACTATCCAACGCTAAAAGTATAATATCATTGTCAAATAGGAGTTAATCATCGCTACATCATAAAAAAAAAAAAGAAGAAGAAGAATTTAAAACAACACACAATCGGACAATACTCTGAATTGATATCGATCGACAAATTGAAAGATTCACCAGAGTTGGCGATGCTTTTTACCACAACCAAAGTCAGCATTTAACTAGCGAGCTGGCAAAAAAAAAAAAAAAAAAAAAGAGGCGAGCTTCCCTCTTGAAATCCAGTCTAGGGAACAAGCTGCTCTCTCTTGTGGCCCACTCATGCGCTACCTTGGAATCGCGTATCAGAAACAATCCTCTCGTCGAGTGTACAAAGCACCAAAACAACTATTCCATAATATTATGTAATGCACCGACCTTAGGAAGCCTCGTTCCTCCATCGGAACAGCGTCTATTCGTTGTGAGAGGCTTGAACGAAAAGCTTTGGTCTTTAGACAGCCAGCGTTTTGCTCAAAGGCTCAAGGATTCGCGATTGACGCACGAAGGAAAGAAGAGCGAAAGCTCTGTTATTCAAAAGTTTTAGAATTTAAAACGTTATTTAGTTGGATAAATTCGTTGTTATACAAAATGTTCATTCAATGTCTTTGAAACTACGAAATAAATGAAATTCTGATGCGATTGTTTGTACTAACAAAAGAATTTGTCCAAAGACGAGAGAGAATTCCAATTCACGTCTCTTGGTTGTACACGTAGGATCGCGGCGTAGTTCTAGAAGATTACCGAACGACATTAATGCCTCTTAATCTCTGTATTATTTCAATCTACACACCAAGGACCTACAACGATAAAGTGTCGTCGATACGCTGTACAATTAGACAGGTGCCTACGATTTTTGTTAATTATCGCAACGAGCGACCGAGACGGAAGAGACGGGCACAAGTGTTGATTAATCGGGGTGGAAAAGGGGGTGGGGGGAGGGGGCGAGAACGATGTTCGTCTATACTCACAAGTGGTCCTGCCGCTTGAACGCCTTGCCGCACATCGTGCACACGTACTTCCTCTCGTCGCTGTGCGTCAGCTTGTGCTTCGTGAGCGCCGATGCGTTGTTGAACACCTTGCCGCAGACCTGCAGACAGAAACCGTACTGCGTGTCACAGCCCGTCTTTGTGTTGACATCCACCAACCCCGACAGTCGGCTTAATTGGCTATTTATGCCTTCACAGTCACGCGAGGTTTAAGAGTCGTAAGAGTTTCCGTATTTACGTATTATTGTTTTCACACTTCATTCGTGTATCACGAGGTGCGAGGAGAACGTGTTTAGACGACCTTATAATAATCTGTTTCAACGCGAATTTACACGATCATCTTAAGTTTTCGCACGGATATGTAGGAATTCTCGAGAACATTTGAATATTTATAGATACCTGTAATTTGTACATGTAGAAATTTCTCACCAACAAAAATTCTCGCAAAAGATAGATATTGCTATAGAAAGCTAGGAAATTTTTATGGACGTTTACATGTACAAATGAAAATATTCAAACATGTATGAGTATCCATAAATATGTTTTATCTATTATATAATAATCAAGTTTCTAACTAGACTGCAGACAAAAATAGAAATTTCTCTCATCCTTCGAGTATTTTAATTTGAATGTCTATTCTCATTGTTAGATGTTAATTAAATTTCATGTGCAGTCCAGTCCAGTTATGAGTGTACACAATTACCAAAATTTGAAACAAATCTGAAAATACGCGTATATAATCTTAAAACCATTTTACTCATTTTATTTCATTGGCGATATTTTACACATTTCATTTTGGGACATTTTTTGAAATTTCAAAACGCTCGTTTTCACTAGAAATATCCTTCCAAATTTTAACAATTCATCTCCGTAATTGATTTTAATAACCGTAACCGGTGCATTTTCAATTACAATTGTGACATTGTGACATCGTTAATAAAATGACCAAAGTTCTACGTATATTATATTACGCTGTTCTTTGTATTGTACAGAAAAATCAAGATCTCGTAAAGTACAAAGCGAAAGGCTCGAAAATATTAATTCAGAAATCCTTTTTCGGGCAAAAAAAAAAAAAAAAGAAAATCAAGTTGACTTTTAACCGAATGAATGAAAATCGCTTGGGAGGCGAAGCGGGCTCGGAAATCATTGACAAACAGGCGAAAATGTAATTCCGCGCAAACCTATATTTGGCCATTAGCATTACGCGGAACACATTTTCAGAACCGTCTAACATTTGACACATGTTACTGCCAACCGTGCGAATGTGCTTGACGTAGACAGCGCCGGCCGCTACACGGCCGCGTACACACATTTCCTAGCATCCATTAATGACTGCGTTCCAAAAATATACCCTGTGTGCTTCCTGTGTTTTTTACGCCGCAAAGCAAACATGCATATGGTCGCGCTTCTATTTCCACCCCCGCCGGCCCCCGCTTGAAATATTACAAAAACATTCGAACGTAAAGAAAAAAAAAAAAAAAAAAGAAAAAAAGAGTATGAAAACATCCCTTTGACGATTTGAGCTTACGCACGCTTGAACATGGCAACACGTCCCGGTAATTTCGAATTTTTACGATAAATCATTCGAGGTTTACGTATTTGCAAATAAACAAAGGCACAAAATGTAAACTGAAATTTATTTCATCGATCGAATAATCACGCGGCTCTTCAAAATTTTATAAACGTTCACGCGTTTGTACGTTATTGCGTAATATCTCATTATTCTGGGCAACGACCGGAAGCGTAATTTCATTCGAATTTTATTCTTTAGACTCTTCTGACTTTCTGTAAGCGTCTGACGAACTTTACATCTACGCCCACACTTGAACGTACAATTCCTTTTTCCGACTCGTAAACTTCGAACTCGTGTTTACGCGTGAATTAATTAATTTCAATAATCCTACGATTCCACTAACACCACAGAAAGTTGATCAATCCCTAAAAAATCAAGAATATCTCTTTCGTGATTTTACACAAATCTACAAATCCTTTGAACTAACAAACAGATAAACAAATATCTAATTCCCTAATAACAAGAAGAAGAGACCACTATTTTCTGTAAATCCCACCGAGGAGAATTTTTCGTCGATAATTACTTCTCTGGTGTTTTATTTTTCCATCACTTACGTCGATCACAAGCACCGACCACCAGTTTCAACCGCGGTGATTTAGTTAACGAGTCCCATGGAAACGGAGAGGGCGGGGGGGGGGGGGGGGGGGGGGGGGGGGGGGGGGGAATTTCGCGTGTGATCGGCTCGAATCGAATCACGATGTAACGGTCACCCAATCGATGGCCGCGCCGTGCTTTTTAATACACGGTAATCGCGAGCGAATGTCGGCAATTCCCCCCGTGGGAAACGCGTCGCGCGCGTTTCCCAACGGTTCATTACCGACACGCGAAACGAAACGAGGCTGGACACGATTTTCAATTACCGCGCGTGGCCGTAAAGTAAAGCCAGGCCGGACGCGCTTTACGACGGACATTAGAATGTCGATAAAGATACCATTGCGCCCCATGGTGTGTACGCTTGGTGTTCGTTTTCACGTTCGCGTGCATCAGGGTGGTCTGACTCGTCCCGTCCCCCTCCCACCGCCGAACACGTTACTACGATCTGCTATTCGTTTAAACCAACCACGATCCGTTTTTAGCAGCTGGAATTTGTTTGGTTACGTGGTCCATAGTTGTTTTATCGGTACGTCGTGGTTTTTTCCCTTTTTTTTGGTAATTATACACTTAGGATAGTGTATAAAATGGATGAAACTATTTCTTTAATTCAGGAAAATATAAGAACTCTAAGATACAAAATATAAGAAAATCAATGAACTATTTAATTTTCTAAAATCGGGAACTTACAATCTTATAACCTCGAACTTGAAATTCTGATCCTCCCAAGAAGTTCGCGAACAGCCGAGCAATTAATCATACTTCGCGCCGTTAAAACGGTGTAAGAATCCTTTGAAATTAAATCCACGGAGCGGGAAGGAAGGGAAAGCAGTTGCCTGTTCTGCAAAATTCCTAATTAACGTGAGACGTCGGCACGGCATTTCCACGGCGTTAACAACAGGCAAGGCCGAAGACACGGACCGAGGGTGTCAGACACGGTATGCCTGTTAAGTATGTGGAATTGGGTTTATTACTCGGGCGAGGGCGTGTACTATTTCAACAACTATTTCAGGAAGCCGAGGGCCCGCGCGCGCATGGACGCTGTTCCATTTGAAAGTGCACCACCGGCTGTGCAAGAACACCCGGAATTGGCGTCGAATTTGCCCGTCGAACGTCTCTCATCGGATATCAAAATTCCGCGGCCCCGAATTTGCTCAGGAACGAACGGTATTTATATATATACAATTATATATATTTATATATATATATATAAATTAATATAAATTATATATAATAATAATATATAAAAATATATATAAAATTATATTTATATATATAAATTAATATATATATTTATATTGCGTGTAAAAAAATTTTCACCACTCTCCTTTTGTATTTCTTCGTTTACTCATTGCTCTGCTGTACAGAGATGTTTGGAATAAAACAATTTCTAATTCGAAATCTCTCGTTCATTTAATTTGAAATAAACATTACTGTGCCGAGTTTCTGTAAGTTGATGACAGTGAGATGAGTCGTGTCTCTTCGAGTGATATTTCGAGTATACCACGAACGTTCGTTCATTTATGAAAAATCTGAACACGGGTTAATTCAACTTTCGCTGTTTGTCCTTTCTGTTCGCGGTGCATCCACCGTATATTGCAAAAGGACGCGTATATTTAATCGAAATTAAATTTATTCCGTACGATTTGCCTTTTTCTTCGTGAAGATCGGTTCATCGCAATGCAGATTATAAATTATCGTACCTGTCAAGCGTAACCCAATAACGTGACTTTAGAATTACGAGCTTCCCAGAGCTGACGGTTTTTAGTCGCTGTATAACAATAACACCTCGCGTCGAACGTCATGTTATTCAAATTATATCGAAGCTACAGATGCTGGACAAAATGAAATAAATTACGACACATTCTATTTATCGTTATTTACAGTCACGTTGGCATTGTTAATATCCAGTTTCTTTCTTCTCCTCGATAAAAGTCAGATGGTTTTCTCATTGAAAAGTGATGTAAAGACGGTGAAAGAGAGTCCCTCTCCTATGAGAAACAGAGAGCAAATATATGTACGTCATCGAATAAAAGCGTATAAATCTTGGTGAGTGTATGCACGTAAATGAACATGCAGAAATATTTATGTCAGTTTATATCCAGGGGAACGCCACGAAACAGCGAGCTTAAAGAGAGATTTGTATTAAGAAAAACTAGCGCACGTAATTATATCGCAATTACGCTGCTGAAAGAGCAACTGTACTATTTGCATTTCGTACGACATTTCATCGTTGCGACAACGATGCTTAAAACATCGTGTTAAAGCCCAGATTTATTTATCACACTCACAATTACTCAAACTCGACACTTTGACGTAGTCGAGCTACGTAAACGAAAATATATGTGCCAATTTACTAGTTTTACTTTATGAAGGGAGAATATGACAAGCGTGATTTAGTGTTCGTTTTTTCTTTTAAAACGTAGCAATTAAAATGCAGTTGAAAATGGGAGTTGTACATTCAGCCCAAGGATACAAACCTTTCTGCCGTCTCTAATAATTTTTGAAATTAATATTCTTTCGCGTAATCGTACGATGTGACAATTTCACGTACTCTGGAAATTTTACGCTTTAGGCTGTCGGTAATTTCAGTGTTAATATTAGTTCAAGTTCTTCGTGCAATACGATTTTTTATTCCAAATCGAGTCTAAGCTTTCTTCATCCCAATTTCCCATTTATATTTTATAAAAATTTCCCGCATTCTATAAAAATTTATCGAACCTCTATAACCTTTATATACAGAGTGTCTCGAGGATAAAAACTGCATAGGACCATTTACTTGAACACATTAACGATCAAATTATCATAAAATATCTCCTTAACTTAGCTTTAGAAGAAATGTGGCTTATTATTTTTTCTCACTTGGAATTTAAGATGGTCCAATTAAAAATGATAAAGATGACCTTTAAATAATACACGAGAAAATTGATACGCCAT